ATCTTATGGGGTGGGGGTTCGAATTGTTATAGTTACTAGTCGAGGGAATTGTGGGTGTCTGTTTGAGCAAATGGGGGTTAAATTTGGACAAGTGTGTGGATGTTTGAGTGTTTGTTGAAGAAATCCTAGCATCGGATGAGTAGAAATAGCGTGTGTTCAGTTTGTTCTGAACTCTAAATTTGAAGATTTCAACTCTCTCATTTAATTTGTGGTTTGCGTGTCTCAGCTCCCATGCACGAGCGTCCTGCTACATTTGAGATGAAGGAAAGAGCTTGGAGGTCAAGTGTCAACGGTTCAATGCCACTTCCATGAAGAGAGTGGAGACGAGCGAAGTATCAAGATTCTCAACAAAATATCAGATCAGGATGCATCTCAATTATCTGCATGCGTAACTTCAAAAACTTAAAACCCTAAAACTGAAAGCAATCATCTCATATGATAAAATCCTAGGGACTCAATAGATTAACCAGCCACAAGAACTAGCTACAGAAAAGCTTTCTGGTCGCTGTCAAATTACTGCAAACAAATGGACGATAACAAAATTGCATTCAAGGAACAGTTGGATTCTACAAGTAAATAGACATTAAAACATAGAAGTCACACAAACAACTCTAGTGCCGATATATCCATCCAATAAATACCAACTATCTTAATAGCTACTCATCTTCCTCATTTCTCACCTTGTTCTTCTTCTTCTTCTTCTTCGCTGTAGAAGCCATTTCAACATCGCCATCATCTGAAACTTCACGGTTCTTCTTCTTCTTCTTGGCCGTTCCACTCTGCTCAGCACCGTCAACATTTTCACCATTAACTCCTTCAGTGGTCACCTCTTGCTCTCGGTTAGACTTGTCTTTCTTCTTCTTCTTTTTCTTTTCAGTTGTTGGCTCAGCAGGAGTGTCCTCGTTCGTAACAGTAGATTTATCTACTTCCATGGCATCAGCATCTTTTGATTTCTTCTTCTTCTTGCTTTTCTTTGCTGAAGCGTCATCAGCACCGTTCTCAATATCCATTTCTGCAAGGCAAAAAGAAAAAGAAGGAAAAAAGAAAAAGAAAAAGAATAAAAAAGGTTAACGAAAAATCAAGGTAGAGGATGATATAAACTGATGTAATGAAATATCATCTTTTTTTCGCAGATGGGATAACTGCAGATAGACCCCCTATGATATCACTATTTCGAACTTACTACCCCTCTAGTTGCATTGTTGCATATAGACTGATGTAATGAAATATCATCTTTTTTCGCAGATGGGATAACTGCAGATAGACCCCCTATGATATCGCTATTTCGAACTTACTACCCCTCTAGTTGCATTGTTGCATATAGACCCTCTTAGTGAATTTTTATTCGACTCTTTTACCCTCAGGGATCTATGTCACAACAATTCACTCTGAGGGTAAAAGAGTCAAAAAGAAATTTCACTCCAGATGTTTATCTGCAACAATAAAACTGGAGGGTTAGTAAGTCGAAAACAACCATACTACAGGGAGTCTTATCAACAATTAACCCTTGGTAGATTAGCACAACTGCAAGCATATAGCATTGGTGTCTTCAAATATGAAATAGAGAATGACACACCAGAAAGAAAGGCAACTGAGTAAAAACTATATCTGATATTTGATCGCAGAGAAGCACAAACATATAGAAGATAACATGACATTCTAATTCCACTCTATAGAAAACTGGAACAAGAAAATATGTTGTTTAAAAGGAATAGTAAATTAATAGTTTTCATAGTTTTCCTTATTTATTCTACAGGCAATGAAGTGTTTACTACAAATAGTGTAGTTTAAAAAACATTATGTTAGTATAAAGATGAACTTACCATCAGCTTTTTGGGAACCATCATTCAATACAGTCTCAACTGCAGCCTTCATTACATCAATGTTCTTACGCGGGGCAACACCCTTGTCATAGAAATCCAGTCTCTCCTCAACTTGCTCACGTAGCTTTTGCCCAAACACAGTGGTATTTGATTCTGATTCATGATCACTTTATAAATCAGATTACCAAGAAAAAGAAACACCAGCAGCTCATAATGAGTTTGAATGATGGAGTTACCAGAAAAGCAGTCAATTCGAGAAGCTATGGAACATTTGTTTGCAAGATAACGAGCTAGGCGACCTTTGTTGCGAGCAGATGCTCGTCCAATAAAAGAAGAGTGGAAGATGAGGCCATATTTTGGAGTGTTTCCACGTGTTTTCAGAGCCCTATAGAATTTCATAGAATGGTGATAATGATAGAATTGGATAAATGATTAGAAAAGGGGAATATAAATTTTTAGATATTTTATAAAAAAAAGGAAGCAGACCAACATAAGCAACATCCAAAGTCGATGGCAACTATAAAATCCTCTAAAACAGAATTTAAAAATATATATTTTTGAAACAGTGGTCAAACGTAAACAACAGTTTCAAGTTATTTAAAGGAAACCTGAAAAGAGCCTTCTCTGCGCCAAGTATCTGGAGAGTAGAAGCAGGGCATTTGGCCAGATTTGATAAACTTCCAGCATGAGAAATCAAACGAGCACCAACAACTTCACCAATTAGTGATGCCAAATTAGGTGCTATATCATTCATTTTTGTGACGAGATACTCGTAGAGATTCTTCCTGTACTCAGCGAGGTCCATAACTCTCTGAGCAAACTGCTGGACATTAATCAGATCAAGCGGAGATAGATCTTGTCCTGGAGAAGGAAAGATCAACCCTTAGCAAAGCAACATGGATGCCTCTAAAGAATTTATACTCAGAAAGGGATGTGATCTTAGTTATTACCCATGGATGCTTTGGCTGCTTCAACAACTTCCTTCGCTTTATCTTCATCACCAAGTATGTCTGCCAACTGTGGAATGTGTTCCTCAGATAATTCTGATTTGTTCTGGACAAGCTTTGCAATTTTGGCATATAAATAGTTGTCATTCACAATCTTCGCTAGCTCAGGAAAATGCCATGAGTACCACTCTCTGCAGAAATGGGTTAGTTAAAAACTTTAGATTACGTATTCATGTAAGAAAGTTACTAACCTTCTAATGATATGAATATAGGAAGATGTGGAACCGAAAGAGTAAACTTATAAGTGAAATAGCTTAGAAAAAGGACAAATTACTAAAATGTATGACTTTTCACTCGTAGGTGAAAGATGAACAAACAAATATTAACACAAAATTTAATATATAGTAACATGCTCGGTAACAAAGTGCATCATAAGCTTGTAAGCATATTAAAAGTATATGCCTGTAAAAGGACAACAGGCCCATATTTAAGTAGAAAAACTCCATGCGGCGGCAAATTGCTCAATGACTCGTGTAATTCTACTGATAAGAGCTGAACTAAGGATACAAATTCATGCAGCTATCCGAAATTTTGGAACAAAGGCTTCAGTCACAGTTCATTTATACATGACAAGTTTGATATATACCCTTGGAAGTGAACATAACATGTATTATGTATGTTATGCTTGCAAGTCAGGTAATGTGATAACTATATGGTTTAAAAATAAAAATAAAAATAAGCATTTTCCCTTCAAAGCAACTGTAAGAGCTAGTGCCTACACAACCGAGAAATTATCACATGGAACACTCGAGAATCCAATAGAATACACTGGTGGTGTACTACAAAGAACATTATTTACTTTATAAGAATCATCGGTCATGAATTTCAATTAAATAAGAGTATTCTTAATCTACTCCAGGCCTATTTTTTCCAATTTAATGTCATAAGCGACTATTCAATGGATGACAGATATTCAGACAATGCATAGCATAGCTAATATCTAATAATAATGACGAAGAGGATTATCACTCGTGAGTGCACCTTACCATCATGGCCAGTACCTCCTCAGGCCACAAATAAATAAAAATTTTAAGAGGTTGATAGTCACATCTTCAATGTTTTAAAAAGCACGGAACCTAGGCCGCCAAGGCCTATTCCTTACCTAGGCTGCTCGCCTAGGTCATGAGAGTGCCTAGGGGAGCATGAGCAACTTATGCGGACCACCGCTTAGGACTTGGTCATAATGTCCTTCACTGCCGCCTCCATATTCTCCGACCTCCTAGCGACTCCTCCACTGACTACGAACACCTCCACCTCCTTGGACCTTCAGCAAAGACTCCCCAAACCACCACTTAAAAAAGCAATCTGCCTAGGTCCCACCTAGGTGTCCGCCTAGGCGCCGTTTCGGGTCCTAGCAACGCCTAGCTCTTTCTGTAACTCTGCATATACTAGCCTACTGCACTCTACCAATGACGTTATGATAATCAGGAAATTTATTATGCTAAAAATGAACGTCTAGGTAGAAATACTATTGGGAATTTTAAAGTGAGTAAATACTAGAACACCTATGTCAACAGGTTCGATACTATTAGTTTTATATTCAGGTTATAAAAGGGGGTCAACCTAACCACTTATCATCTAGCAACGCCTAGCTCTTTCTGTAACTCTGCATACTAGCCTACTGCACTCTACCAATGACGTTATGATAATCCGGAAATTTATTATGCTAAAAATGAACGTCTAGGCAGAAATACTATTGGGAATTTTAAAGTGAGTAAATACTAGAACACCTATGTCAACAGGTTCGATACTATTAGTTTTATATTCAGGTTATAAAAGGGGGTCAACCTAACCGCTTATCATCTAGGATCAGAAATGTCGAGTCCTAATCCTTTGGGCAGATAAGGTTCGACCATGCTGAGTAGACTACTGGCAGGAGATAATCCAGCCTGTAAACTGCACTCACCATACCAAGGATATCAGACACTCAAGTAGAGGAATATCGGAAAATTCTAGCTCAAAGAGGTTAGCAAGAGTGGGTGAACTTTGTAAGAGTTAGGAGTTAATAATGTTATATACACTGCAATTGGAGGTTACAACAGGTGAACAAGAAAACAAAAGAACCAACAAATTAAAGTTTTAAGGAGGAAAAAACCAATTTGGTACTATAATGTTTCCGTGGAAAGGCTCAACAAAAACCATGCACAACATTTACAAATGCAACCATGATGATTAAAATCAAACTTGGAAGCTACTCTATGCAAATTATGGGGCGCATCAATTAGGAAACAAGAATTTTCTAAAACATCCAAAGGAAAAATATGCACTATTTCTCTGCCTTCAGACATAAATAACTGTTTAACAAATAACAAATAACCACAAAACATGAAATAAATAAACAAATCACCAAATAGAATACGAGTGCATTTATCTGCTATGACAAGTACAAGCTCAAGTGATATCATCCAGTCCAAAAAAAAGGTCTCCCCTTTATCGGTTTCACAAACATCCATGAATATTAAACAGATTAAATAAGCAAACATCCAAGAAAGAGCATAAAACACAAGAAATCAAAAAGAGAAAAAAAAAGAAACAGACCTGACCCTCATGGAGAATGAGTTAATATCCTTATCCAGGGTATCAAGCAGGAATATAGCTTGAATCACCATGTTATCAACTCGATTCACATTAAACTTCACCTTCGCCCGACTGTAACTGTGCCCTAGTCCCAATCTCGCCAGCTCCAAATCTGTCGGCTACAATAACAAAACAACCATCAACAATCACAGAGATGCGCCGACTTCACGAACACAATTGAAAAAAAATCCAACCTTGAGATCCTTAATGAATCTATCGAAGTGCAGCCTGACTCCCCTCAGCAGCTCCATCACAAACTCATTGCACTGGCAAGGGATCTTGATCGTCTCAGCAATCTGGGATCCGACCTTCGGCTCGGAAACCCCGAGGCTAAACTTAGCCTTCTTCCCATCCTTCACCTTCGGAAGATTCACACTCAAGAAATTGCTCAGTTCTTCAGTCATTATCCCTAAAAAACGCAGAAAAATTAATCAAAAATCGCGAAGTTTTTTTCCGGTGGACCGTGGTTTCTGGGGATTTTACCCTCGGAGATGGCGTTGCATTGGTTTAGGGCGTCGAGGGCGGAGGCGAAAGGGTGAAAAGCTTCGAACTTGACGATCTTGCCGAAGCGAGTGAGGTCCAAGATTGAGTTTTTGACGGCCTCGGTGTTCTGGCCGATCTCGTCGAGGCCGTACGCGTGGAACAGGGAGTAGCCGGACGCCGACTCGAAGAGGAGGTACAGCGCCATGGCTGTGATTTTTAGGGTTAGGGTTTTGGAGGCGGGAGGGGGAGATGAACGAGGGAGTTTTATGGAGGGGTTAAAGAGGAGGGGTTAGGGTTTTAGAGGCTAAATGGGCTTCGGCCCAGTTTGAGAACCAGGGCTGGCCCTCGTGTATATTTTAAGTTTAGGCGTATTGTTTTCTCTTCGACAGCTCAATGTTTTCCCATATTTCACTTTGGTACCCCAAAACATTTTTTTTAGCACTTCGATGACCTACACTTTTGAACCCGTTTCTCTTTGATACCTCAAAACATTTCTCTAATACTCTGATACCCCCATTCAAATTTCGTTAGATGTCCTATTAAATTTATATAATGTCCTTTAGCGCTGATGTATTAACCCAATTTCCATCATGGTACAAATTTAATGGAAAGTTTAAGGAAGTAACAAGTGGACGCCTTCCACGGCGGTAAATGCCCACCAACTTGAGATCAACCTCTAGATCATTGGACCTAGAGATTTGTACGTGGATCCAACTATTGATATTACTTTGACGCACATTTAGGACATGTTTGACTACTACCTTTTTTTTATGTTTCCTCATAAGTTATTTATTGTTTATTTTATTAGTGACGAAGATAGTCTTTTAACATCAATGAGTAAATCTATTTATATAAGTAACCGAGAAATAAGTTTGAGCATCTCAGCTTTTTTATTTTCTTATATATAAGTTAAAAATTAGCAATAAGTAAACCTTTTACCGAACATGATCTTAACACCTTACAAGTAAAAAGGAAAAATACTTTGTAAGTGAGAACAAGTATGTTGTCAAACATGCTCTTAACCTAGTGAACCGGGTCCACTAGATAGTTTCTAGTCCTGATATTTCATTCAGATAATCAAAATACTCCCACATCCATACTACATACAAAATTTTCCTCTGCAATTTCTTCTTTTAGCGAAACAATTCAAAATTTCTCTCAACTAAAAGGCATTTTGTAGTCTCCACAAAGGAGTTTGCAAATCAACCCCGAAGCAAGCATATCAACCGCACATGGCAGATCAATTCATTAGGCTCGCCATGATAGATCAAATAAGCTCTTATGAATGGAGCAGGAATTTTTATTGGTTCATCTAAACAAGGGCACATCCAAAAAAAAAACAATTTTGTACGATATATTAAACTACAAACAAAAATCCACTGAAACAACTTAACACCTGAAGGGAATGAATAAAGTATTGGAAAAATAAACTTAAATACCTTTTTGCCCCCCATACAATGTATCGAAATACAACAGGCAATCAGGTAATAGATTATCAAAAATACATAAGATATAAATCAGGCAAAAAAATTAATTTCCTTGCCTTATTATACAAAAATCAATTATCCCTCAACTTGGCCAGAATTTTACTTTTGCATTCAATATTATTGGAGATATTGTTGTGTTGATTCCTCCTCACATAATACCCTCTATGATGCATGCTTTGCAGAAAAAACTTCCATAACGCGCAGCCAATTTATGTACTGACTATGCTCCTTGTTAAGCAAGTGCTGGAAAAGAAATGTGGTCAGTTCAGCGTTGATTCCTCTAGCTTCAAGGTATTCCTTCAATGATTTCTGTAGCCGAGGATCTAAGAGACTGCAAACAATATAAGTACAGTGCAATTATTTAATTAGATGTAAGTTATTACTTTTTCATATAATGATTTAAAAATTTTCCTTTGTTGTATTCCAAAGTTCACAGAGGAGTTCATGTGTCTAGCATTTATATTATACAAAACATTAAAAACATGTATTACCAACAGGAGTACATTCTGCATAGAGTCAACACACACGTAAGAAAAGTAACTCCCATGAATCAAGAACAAATTCTAGATCGATAATACAACAAAAAATTGAGATTGTAAAAGCTACAGCTAACTTGCACCTAAGATCTACAAGTTTGAATTTACATGAAAGACAAAGGAGATGCACTCATGCATTGAAAAAACTGTTAAGCACTAGACAAGTGATTCAACACACAATATTGCAACATAGAGCTGCCATAGACCAAAAAAATGAGTTAGAGGCACACCAAGATAAAATTAGTCTAATATATTTTAACTTGAACTAAAAGAAGTGCATATCATAAGGTGGTTGCTTAAGGTCGGATAACTAATAGTAAGAATTTGGCTCCAAAGCGTACTCTGTTTTGTCAAATAAGAGAAGAACTAACCACTACTTTCTAATCGATTGGTTTATGTTACCATAAGATTGGACATCTGTAATCCACAACTGATTTTCTCCTTTCCTGTGGGACTATTATTCTACTCAAGATCATAGTTTGACACTTCGAGCAACTGATTATCACTGAAGCTAATTCAACGTTAAGGACGCCTATGTAGCACGGACACAGAGGCAAATCCTAAAAAAATACATAGGATACGTGTGTTCGACACGTGTGTCTGACACGGACACGACACGACACGGCTTCATGTTATGCGTGTCCATGCTACATAGAAGGACGCTACATGTATATTGAAGCAAAAATATATCCAATCAATCACTCAAACTTTTAGTAGTGTTAGTAATACTTTTAAAAGACATGGACAAGGCATCTGTCATAGCAGATTATTAAATGGTGGACTCTCATTGCTAAAGTGAAAGATAGCACTGACCTTTTACCATGTCCATGGGGAAGTGTCAATTGAACCTAACTATAATTTGGAAGGGCATACACCAAACAGTTTCCAGATGACAAACAGATGCTGGATAGGAGAGACAGAAGAGAATCCGAAGGTATGAAATAAATCCAAATGCAAAAAACTAATGCACAAAGGACAGCCATTCAGCTGAATATAATGTTCCCTATTGCACTCAATGTTTCAATTTTTTTACTTTGCCAGTGAATAGAGAAGTAGTAGGATCTAAATGAATCTATTAAATTAGAACAAATAATTAGATTAAAACAGATAAATTGATTCGATCACATACACGAAAAAAGATATAAAAAATAACATGCTAAACCAGCAATCAATATATCACTAGTGAATACTTCTCCACTTACTAGGAGTAGTCTGTAGTCATGCAATAATAATAAGAATCTGTAAGAAGCTCTATACCTGGAGATAGAGAGACAGTTAACTATCTCATAACTGTTTACAGTATTCTATTTGTTTACATCAATCTTTAGGAACCTTTCAGTTCCATTAGCTAAGTTTCTTTCTGATGAACTTCTATTTGTTTACATCAATCTTTAGGAACCTTTCAGTTCCATTAGCTAAGTTTCTTTCTGATGAACTTAATACGTGGATAGTTTATTTTGGATGGTGGCTAACAGAGGTCGCTATGTTAGAATCACTAGCGCATTTCTATAACCTATACCCTTCAAAGTTTATATACACTTCTTCCTTACCTTACACCCTTTGACAACCAATGAAGAAATAGTGGAAAACTCTTATCAGTCATGTGATCAATTTCTGGGTTGGCAACGAACATATTTGAGTCCCATCACAACCTAGTTGCCAAGCTAGGTATGGGCAGAGGAAGTATATTTCACTCGTCTGCTGGCCCCTCACATGCCCGCGCACGCACACACCAAGCCAAACCCACACAATACACATACAAACACACCTAAATAAGCAATCAAGACGCACGCACGCAACTCAGAAAAAGGATAATGCACCATGCTCCTTAAAGTACTGTTTAAGGTCCTCACCGTAAGACAAATTGAGCAAGAAGGTTGATTGGCAAAAAAGGGACCTTTTCTTATCAAACCAGGGAGGAGGCCTAAATTCACAGACGATAAGAACATTCGGCAAAAGGGAAAACAAAACGACTTCTCAGAGGGAACTATATATCTATGAGACAAAAAGAAATAACTTTGGGAGCCAAATGGAATTTGTATTTCTTAATGGAGGTCTCTGACTCTCTGAACAAACAGAATCGTAAGGTTTATAAAACCAAAGCTCAAAAATATCATTTCACCCAATCTTTCCTTGGTAGACTTCAGGTACCAAAACTAATAACACGCGTTAGGGCCAATATCCCCATATCTAGATGCCAACACAAAAGGAAACAGTTTTTCTCCTCCTAAACTTAAAAGTTAATATACTGATACTTAAGTCACCGTTGTTACCTCTATTTAAGTTTTGTAATTAAACATCTCCTCAAGCATTCTCTCTGAGTGCATACACTTTCATCTACAAAAACTCATATGACAAAACACTGGAATCATACACATATCTAATTGCCTCGTAATTATCATGGTATATATTCATTTCCAAACGATCTGTCTGTTGCCCCTAACCGAACACATAACCTGCATTCATATTTCAAATTGAAGGCTAACCACTAAGATACATTGCACCAGAACAAACAAATTGATTACTGCTTACTAAATTCAAGCGGTGTTAGCGTTCATTTTCGATAATTTGTTCATTCTAGTCAAAAGGCACGAAATTGCGGCAAGATAAAAACTTTTACCCAAACCGATGTCCTCGATACTTGTTCGGGTCCGAATCCCCGACAAACCGATGATACCGGACATTCCTAACCCTAAACCCATCATCAGCCACCATGCAATCAAAGTGCAGCACCGGATCAAACCCCAGCTTCTTCACGCAAACCTTCATCAAAACCTCCCCTATCGGGCCTCCCCTATCGGGTTCCCCTCGTCGGGGAACCGGATCCGGCCCAACAGACCGGAGACCGCGACCTCCTCCCGCTCGCCCCTCCGCCTCAGGACCACGTCCTTGGTCCCGGCGTCGTCGTGCTCGAGAGTGAAATCGCCGAGCTGAAAGAAGATAGGGTTAGGGTTAGGGTTAGGGTTAGGGGTTTAGGGGTTTAGGGCTTGAGGGGGGGTGGGGGCGGGGACGGGGGATTTACCTGAGAGAGGAGGGTTGGGCTGGGGGTGGGAGAGGAGAGCTCGTGTTTGAGCTCGAGCGGAGGCGGCGAGGAGAGAGGCGTTGCCGGCGAAGGAGGAGGGGCCTTGCGCGGAGTTGACGCAGCGACATTGATGCAACGCCGCCGCTGCGCTGGAATTTGGGCCCGCGAGGGATAAAGGGAGGGGGAGGAGTTTTAGCTTAAATTGGGTGAAGATTTGGGAGCCCAAAGCAGCTACAAGGCCCCCTGATCCAATACGAGTTATATTTGGCCCATCATGAAAATTGAACCAAAACATAATAGTAAAAGTCCTATTTACTCCCAAGGGCAGTGGCAACGAAGTGAGAGAGAGAGAGAGAGAGAGTTAATATTTAGTGAAGAATATAGAGACCTCACTCATCCGTATGCCTCTCTCTCTCTCCCTATTTCTTAGTCATTTCACTTTAGAGTATGTTTCCATTTGGATTATAATTCATGTAAATTATAATTCGTAGTGCTTGGTTGGTAAACGTAGTGGACTATAATCCATTTCTATTAGTAGAGCGTTTGGCGTATGGATAAACTATAATCCATTATTTTTATCAAAATGATAAAAAAAAAAAAAAAAACATGACTTAAAACCCACCAAAAAGGACAATTAAAATTTTGTAAAATGACAAGGAGCATATATGCCATTTGTCCAAGCCAAAATATGTCATTTGGCAAACATTTCAAAATACGGAAACAAAGGGGGGGGAAATACGGTAGATGCATCAACTCACACGTAAACTATACGTGCACATCATCACTAATTTCACTGGTTTCAAATTAATAGTCAAATAAACACAGTTATATAAAACACAGGAAAGTGGTGGGTGGGGGTTGGGGGGGTCAAGGGGGATTTAACGACTGAATTTTTCCCCCCTGCCCATGATGGGGTTTTTCATGCTTTAGTTGGAAGCCTTCTGTCCATCTTTTCTATGCTCGATTTTTCAGAAATTTTTAAGGACGACTTTGCATCACAGTAATCAGCATAGAAATACACAATTTAGCATATTAGGCACAACTCTAATAAGAATACAACCCATGCCCAGAAAACAAAATTTCTCTTTCTGGGTGCTAAATTACTTCAAAATTTTACATTCGCCTATATAATGTTACCCTTTTCACCTTGGATGATGGAACTGTAGATGCAAATAATATTAATAATAATTAGGGCAGCCCAATAAGTCACATGACAAAACCATATCGCCATATCGCTCACTCGTGGGAGAAGCCTAGGCTCGATTTCCGTGTGCGTCAAGGGCACGATCAAAAGAAAAAATAATAACAATAACAACAATGATAATAAATCAATGAACTACTGGTAAGGAACATCAGTATACTACAGTGACCATTCCAGAAACAGATAATGCAGATAATATTCTTCCTGTTTTAATCAGGAACCATTCCACAAACAGATGCAGATGATACTCTTGTCGGTATTTTAATCGAGAACCAAACAGATCGCAAAACCTGATTAACCTCAAGAAAGAGAAAGAATCCATGGTAAAACAAGAATGCCAAAATCTCCGAATTTTCAAAACAATTCTCAAATAAACCACAACAATAAGTCTTAAGATACCAAGTCTGTATTCGCTAATCAATGAAAACCATTCTCGGACTCAGTCTAATAAAAGAAACCCAAGACTTTGCCACCAACATTCTTCCTCCTCGCCTCCTCATGATCCATGATGCCAGCTGAAGTTGTCAACACAATGTATCCAAACTACACACAAAATCCAGTCCTAGAATTAGCTTTCCAAACAAGTTGATTGAAGTTAAATAAGAAACCTCCTTCTGTTACGCTATATTTTTAAGGATGAGTTTCGCAAGACAACCCCTTAAGTTTGGGTGTTTCTCAGATAACACCCTTACCTTTCAAAAAAAAACATTCAATTTTAAATGTTATTAAGCAAAAAACGAGGGACAAAACTTAAAAAAAAGCTTATG